GAGGCGATCGGTCCGCAGCGCACAACGAGCCGCTCCAGCGCCACCGCCCCGCCCCCGCGCCGCCCGCCGACACCCATTGGCTGCCGCGCGCACGTGCCCCGCGGGCCATTGGCTTCTCCGCCCGTCCGTCAAGGGCCGGCCGGGGGCGGAGCGTGCCGCGCGCCGGGGGGAGGGGAGCGCGGCCGGGGCCCGCGAGCGGCAGCGCCGGGGCTGGAGGGGCCCGGCCGGGTCCCGCTGCTCTGTGGAGAGCGTGCCTCCTCTGGCCGGCAGGGCTCTTGGAGCAGGGGAAACGCGAGCCGTGCCCTGTGCAGAGAGCCAGGCTCGGGTGGAAGATGGAGCACGGCAGCCCTGGGCCCGCCGGCCGCGGGCAGCGCTCGCGGCAGCCGAGCCTCTCCTCGGCTGAGGGCCAGGGAATCTCCACGGGCACAACCCGCGTCACTGCTGGGGACTGGTTAGGAGATTAAATGCTTTCTGTGTAAGTGAGATGCAAATGATGGTCTGTCAGAGGAACTGGTGGCCAGCGCTTCGCTGTGCTCCGAGAAGTTCTGCAGCGCCCTGAAGGGACCAGCTGCCCTCTTCCGTTTTCACTTTTCGTAGCCAAGGGCACCCCTTTGTATCTGCACCTATTTCCACTGCACAGGAGACATCTGTGAGACTAAAATTCCACTATTCTGCAGAAAAATAAGTCTTTTTGTCATTGCCAACAGTACTCTGCAATAATACACTAGTAAAAGCAGCATGCCTGGTGTGTGACCTGTAAGCTTCAGGTGTGTAAATCCTGTGTTAAGGTGCTCAACTTTGGGGAAGAAAAATCAGAATACTTCTGCACTACAATACATGATGTTCCTTTTCATTCACAGACAACTCATCATTTAAGTTTTACTTAATTGAGTGACACGCCTGAAAATCAAATTTCCCCTTCTCTAGCTCCTTTTTTCATTCTAGAAGAGTGAGATCTCACCTGAAGGATGGGAATTGCAGCAAGACAGGAGTGTGTGTTCTTTGGTATTTCCATGCACACATGTGGAAATACTCTGTCTAGTGGAATATGTGGCACATTACTCAATGAAAATACAAATATGTTTCTCTGCCTATCATGATGTGGCTTCTAGCAGGACCTTGTCTGGTAAACTCCCAAGATGGGTGCACTGATGTTTTCTGGTTTAACTGCCCAGAAACCCCTTCAAGCGGCCCTGTTACACTGGGCCATGTCCTGCTCTTCCACATGTGTCAGCCAAGGACAGCCCAGCCTCTGCCATGTGCAATGGGCACAGCGTCACAGAGACCCTAATGCTCAGCTCCATGAACAGCCTACTGAGGATGTTAGATTAAGAGTGATGTTAAAAACATTGCCATTTTCTTTTCCTTTCTACAATAGCTCTCAGTGCCAGATGGGGAATCCTCACATGAAAATTCCAAGCCTGACAGGTTTGGAAATATCCTTCAAGGCCTCATAAAACATTAAAGACATTTGTGCATCTGTTATTTGCTCATCGTGCCAGCCCCAAAATCACAATATTGTCATTCACATCAGTGGCAGTTTTCTTTTATTGTAAATTCGATGTTTTCCTTGTGTCATCCAGGTTTTAATTAACAATCCCCTTCTTGGACATGAGGTGGGTCTCAAATCTTCAAAAATTGAGGCCATGAGCACAATACTGCACAGAGCGTTAATGCCTTTATCTTTTGACAGTGTATTTGCAATCTCATAATTTCATCTATCACCATAAACACTTATTTAAGATGTGCTGGCAATTAAAAGGTGTCCTTTGAAACAGTGTATCAATTTTAAAGGAATTATCTCTTTTTGCTATTATGCTTTTTGCTATATATTAATCATCTCGTACAGAGTTTCAGTTCAATATGAAAACATCAGCCTGAAGGTTTCATGATAATGTGGAACTTTAGCAAGGTAAAGCCAAATGTCATGTCTAAAATTATCTCAAGATAATGTAACATGAATGCCACAGGTATTTTTGGTCATGCCATTTCTTGGGATATCTTGAAACATGAAAAAAGCTCAGTGAAGACACGGTACCCAGGAAGCCCTTGGTGAACATGGTTCTGACACAGAAGGGAAACATGCAGTGGGAATTGATGGATGGAAGCAGCAGCATAAGGACAAATGGTACCTGGCTGTGAATAACCATAGAATCATAAAGTTACAATGTCCTGGATTGGTGGGACCCTCAGGGATGCTCAGGGCAGCCCCTGTCCCTGCCCAGCCACCCCAACAGCCCCACCCTGAGCAGCCCTGGCAGCGCTGTCCAAACGCTCCTGGAGCTCTGGCAGCCTTGGGGCCGGGACCATTCCCTGGGCAGCCTGGGCAGTGCCAGCACCCTCGGGGGCAAGAGCCTTGCCCTGAGCTCCATGCCAAGCCCTGCCACAGCTCCAGCCCTTCGTGGGCTCCTGGCCCTGTCCCAGAGCAGAGCTCAGCCCCTGCCCCTCTGCCTGCCCTGGGCAGGAGCTGCAGCCCCAGGAGCCTCCCCTCAGTCTCCTGTGCTCCAGCTGAACGAGCCAAGGGCCCTCAGCTGAGCAGTCCGGGTTACAGAAGGAGAGTGGATGGATGGATTCCTAACGGCGCAGACGCCACACAGAGAACAGCAGGGAGGCTCCAGAAGCCGCCCCATCTCGGGTGCACGCTCCCGGTTACAGCCCTGAGCGACAGTCCCCAGACACGCTCGTAGTGGGCACTGCGGGCTCCGTAGCCGCTGGGGCCCCGGGCTCCGGCGGCTGTGAGCGCTGCAAAACCCCGCAGAGCAGCGCCCTTACCCCGCGGTGCCGCCGCAGCCGCACGGCCCGGCCCGCTGCCGCCGCTCTGAAATGGCGGCCGGTGGAGGGGGCGGGGTCTGTTATGGCCCCGCCCACGGCGCGCCGCGCTCCCCCTGAGCCCTCAGGAGTGAAATGGCGGCACCGGCTGGGCTGGCTGTGGAATTTTTTGAGTGCTTTTCGTTTGGCCCCTCACAGGCTGCTGGCCCCAGGGCACAGGAGTACTGCGGGTGCTGGAGCGTCCTGGGCAGCTGCCACTGCCCTGATCTCCCGCCCTTATTCGTTATAAGACAGCTGGAGATGTTCAGCCTGGAGAAGAGAAGGGGAGAGACCTCAGAGCCTCTTCCAATGCCATGGGGGGCTCCAAGAGGGCTGGAGAAGGATTTTGGACAAGGCCTGGTGTGCCAGGACAAGAGGGAATGCCTTCCCACTGCCAGAGGGCAGGAATGGATGGGAGATTGGGCAGGAATTGTTCCCTGGCAGGGTGGGCAGGCCCTGGCTTGGGGGGCCCAGAGCAGCTGTGGCTGCCCCTGGATCCCTGGCAGTGCCCAAGGCCAGGCTGGACAGGGCTGGGAGCAGCCTGGGACAGTGGGAGGTGTCCCTGCCATGGCAGGGAGTGGAATAAGATGAGCTTTAAGATCCCTTCCAACCCAAACCATTCCCTGATTCTGTGATTCCCCTTGGAAAGGTGCCCTGGTGCCTTCCAGCCATCCCTCCTTGGCTCCTCTCTGTTTGCATTTATTTCCCTTCTTCAGGGTTTTGCATGTTGTTCTCTGATTTCTCCCCTCTATGAGGTCACCTTTGCTCTCCTGTGTCTTCCTCTCCACAGGCTTTCAGCCCCTGTTCTCCATTATTCTCTGGTTCACCCCTGCTCTCTCAATGCATGCCCCAGCTCTGTTCCAAGGCTTTGCTTATCGACCCTTTCTGATCCTCATCTTTGGGTTTGTGGCTCCATCACCCTGACTTGAGGGCTCCTGTATTGCTCCACTGATAGCATCCTTCTAGATAACGCTGTTCTTTCTGTGCTGTTTCCTTGTGCTCTCTCAGTCTTCCTGGTGTCCTGCTCCTTGATGCTTTTGTCTTTGTTCCAAGTGTCATTTCCTCCCCTGAGCAGGAATAATATCCACTGTCTGGAGCAGTTTGCCCTCTTTGGAAGTCCCTTCTGGCCATTTGCAGAAGGATGGACTCACCCTTGCTGTTTCACTCCCATGGGAGTCACCTTCCCTGAGGTTACCTGTAACTGCTGTTCTTGTTCTGCCTCTGCGGTCATGTCACTTGTGAGGTGAATTATCTCACCTGGAGCATGTTTGCCTCTAGTTGTGCTGCAGAAAGATCACCCCCATTTACATTCTCAGTGACTTGTAGGAGAACTTTTCCAGGATTTCCTGAGGTCAATGAGGAAAACGCCGGGCATGGCTGTGTGAGCCCTGAAGCAGCACTGCCACCAGCAGCACATTGGCTGAGGAACATGTCAGTTCAGGTTTCTCTGCACTGAGCTGCTTGAACTAAACCAGCCACACGTAATCATCTGCAGATAGATGTGGAAAAGTTTTAATTAAATTCAAATGTATAGTTATTATAAGCTGTTATTGAAGCTGATTTCCCCTCCCCGCCTTTATTTGGTTTCTCTTTTCCTTTATGTATTAATCACCTCTGTAAATATTCTCCCCTAGATGTTTGTTGTGCAGCAGCCACCATCTATTAGCCTAGATTCTGAAAAAATCTCCTTTAAATTTTATCAGTAGGTAAAAGATTTAACAGAAAAACAACAAAATGTAAGGAAGCAAGTCAGAAGCTTTACTGCTTGCCAGGAGTCATTTTTATTCCAAGCTCATAATTTATGAAGCTTGTGGTTGTGTGTGGTTTTATTCTGGTTGTGATTTAATTTGTAGCATAGTTGTATCTGTCCAGTGAGCTGTTGGTGTGAAAGACTCTTTGTCAGACTGTCAGTTAGACAATATTAATTACATTTATCATCATTTTCCAGTCCCCATTTTCCAGGAAGATATTAAGCAGTAGTAAAATGCGCAGTAAACACACTGATTAATTTACTTTTTTGTTTCCCCAACAGCTTAGGAAAAACACCTGTGTCACATTAATATTTTCTGAAAAATCCCTTTGCCCAAAATTTTTCTCCTGGGAAGCTGAGAAGCCTCAGAGAAAAAGGAAAACAATTTTATCTCATTTGCTTCTCCTCTGTTTTGCTCCTTTGGAATGTGGTTGAAGATTGCTTATCCAACAGGTGATTGTTTCATTGGTTTCTGCTGTGAGTTAAGCAATGGCCAATCAGGGTTAAGCTGTGTTGGGACTCTGGAGAGAGTCGTGAGTTTCATTATTATCTTTTTAGCATTCTGTAAGTATCCTTTCTGTATTCTTTACTATAGTTTAGTATAGTATTCTTTAACATAATATAGTATAATAATAAATTAGCCTTCTGAGAACATGGGGTCAGATTCATCATTCCTTCCAACGCTGAGGCACCTCAATATACACCTGGTTTTTTGGTACTTTTGAATGTTTGACAAAACCGACCACTGGTACCACTATGGTACAATGTGTGGTAGTGTGAACTAGCAGTGGGGAGTTTTGAAGAGCCTGATGTATGCTTTAATAATGTTATTGGAGAGTGGTTTGTTAGTCTTGAGATCAAGCATTCCGAGCACAAACCCAGAGAATGGATCAGGAGCAGCCCTGGGGAAGGACTCGGGGTGTTGGTGGGTGAGAGGCTCAGCCTGCCCCGGCCATGGGCACTGCCCCAGAAACCCCCCCTGTGCTGGGCTGAGCCCCCAGCGTGGGCAGCAGGGCAGGGGGGGATTCTGCCCCTCTGCCCCTGTGCTCAGCTCAGACCCCCCCTGCAGAGCTGCCCCAGCCCTGGAACAGCAGCAGGAGGACGTGGAGCTGGTCAGTGTGTGGCTGTGCTGGCTGCTGTCACATGTGTGTGGCTGTCCAGTGGTACTGCTGATGGCTGGGATATTTTGCTTCTGTTTCCAACAATATGGTTTGTGTTTATATGCTGAACACTTTCCTGAACAGCTGGGGTGTCTTAAGGATGTCTTCCCACATGACCCACGTTAGTTGTGCCCCTCAAAGGGGTTAACTTCAGAAATTCCAGTCATCCAGTCAGGAGCTTGCAAGGTGTTAGAGCAGTCAGGAGACCGTGTCCTCAGCACCTGTGCAGGTGTCCCCCAGCAGGGAGCAGGATTGGCCTGAGCTGTGGTGTGGCTTTAGGGATGAATCACTGACTGCTCTGTGCAGGCTGGACCCCACCACATTTCAGAGTGGCTGTGGTGGGCAGCAGGTCAGAGCCCACCAGGGCGGGTGAGCATGACCATACCTGACCATCGGTCAGATCTGACTGGGCTATGGTGCAGCCCTGCCAGGCTGTCAGTGGGGTCAGCCCTCCTTGGAGCAGTAGGACTGCAGTCGAGGACTCTTCCTGTGGGTTGGGATGCCCAAGAGAACTCCTGGAAGCTTGGAGTCCTAGCCTCAGTGTGTGAGGGATTCCATATCTGGAATAAGTGTTCTAAAATCTTCAGAGTTCTCAGGTCAGTTGGGCAGCACCAGCTCTGTCTGACATGATGAATTTGTATTCAAAGGCTGGCTAAGCCTTATTTGATTTATCTGCTTTAAATGGCTTACAAAATAAATATAATTTGAATATATTATTTCATAGCATCGTAGATTCATAGAACCTCCTGAGTAGGAAGGGAGCAAATGGATCATCAACTCCAACTCCTGGCCCTGCACCGCATGTCTCAACAATCCCCCCCGGGGATTGCTGTCCAAATATTCCTGGAACTCTGGCAGCCTAGAGCCTGTTACCATTCCCTGGGGAGCCTGTTCACTGCCTGACTACCTGCTGGGGGAAGAATCTTTCCCTAATATCCAGTCTAAACCTCCTCTGGCAAATTTTTATAAGATTCCATGACAGAAGCCAAGAACAATTTCTCCAAAATCCCTCACAAAAACAGCTGAGAGATGCTGCAAAGCACTGGAGCTCCTGGGGAAAATTCATCCCCAGCTGAAGCTGAGGCATATCAGCCACCATGGTCATGTGTGAGCACTCAGCTGTGGCCCAGACTGACTCCAAATGGCCCCGGGCTCCTCCAGCATGGCCTTTAGATGGTGTCACATCCCAGTGTTGGTGCTGACAGGCCCTTCCCTTCCTTCCTCTGCAGCTTGCTGAGCTGGCTGTGATGTGGGTAACTGTAACCTGTCTTATATGACCATTATATGATAATTAATTGTCCTGCACTGTTGGTCTGCTGTGTTCCAACATGAGCTCTAGTGTTTCAGTCAGAGTTCAGCAGTGGATGGACGTGTTTCTGCTGCTGCCTGGAGGATTGGTGTGGGAAAAGGTGCAATGGAGTTTGAACCAGGTGAGCACTGGGCTGCTGAAGAAAGTCAGACTCTCTCCTGTGACAGACATCACAGTGCCTCAGGATCTGCCTGAGAGCAATAAAGAATATTTTTTCCCTACTTTATAGGTTAAGCTCATGCATTTGATGCTTGTATCTTTGCTACTTACCTAGCTATTAGATAAAGCTCTAAACCAGCTTTTAATAACAGTGCTGTGTAAAAAGGGTGGGGGGGAAGCCAATGTGACTAAATAATATTTCTTTATAAACATGACAAGATCTTCACCTCTGCATTGCTTTATTTTTTTAAGGTGTTACCCTGCTCATTAGAGATTATCTGCGCTTCAAGGTTTGGTTTATTTGAAGAGCTAAATCCGATAATAAACTGAAGCCAAGGCCACTATGTAGACCCAGATTTCTTTTCAAATTACAGAATCCTGTATCTGGGGAGGATGGAAAGCTGTCAGGATTTAAAGACTTACAGCACAGTGTTTTTTGAGTTTATGGATTCTTGGGTGTACAAATTCTTCTGTGCCTTTTTAAGTCTCTTTACAAGGCATGATGATTCTTGTTTCTGTCTTCAAGGTTCTTCTCATTAATGGAAAATAATGCTTGCAATTATTTCAGTAATACTACTATCAAATTTTAAAATATTTTGTTTTAATTGTAACTTTTTGCTAGTGACTGAAACTCAATAATTTCTGAAGCTGGAAGAAGTAACTTGCAGTAACTTCACCTTTGCAGTTAAATAACTAAGTATGGAAACAAATGACACTATGAAATGTGTGTGAAATCTCTGCAAATGTTGAATTTTTGAAAATAAAAGCTATATTATTCGAATGTTGATGTGAACCATCCCTGAGAATAGAATGTGCACGAGAGATGGAGGTACAGCAGGAGGAGGAATGCTCTGATAGTTTTCTGTCTTCCTTGGTAAGGAGAGATCATATGATGTCATAAAGGCTTTTAGAGCAGGTTCTTAAATCAGTTTTCCTCATGCAATTTAACAGCATCGTTTTAGGGACCTTGTTCTGTTGGCTGTTACAACAAATGGACCTTAATGCTTTTCCTTCCTTCAGTTTCGGGTTTCTACATGAGCTTCCCCGCTGCCATGACCCAGCTGATCTGCATGGTATGGCTTTAATTTAAATCTAGCAGCAAACTAGAGCTGCTGAATGCAGAAGTGGGGTTCTAAGTTAGTGACTTAGGAGCTCATGAAAAGATCATTTATTCGCTTTCTAAATCAGCTCTGCCATAAAATGTCCAAGTTAGCAACTGGAGGGTTGTATTTTCTTTCAGCATAGCTGTGGTAACTCCTGGGGTCTGAGCTGATGTGGGTTTGTCCACATACACAAAGGAGCAGCCTTTTGTTGCAGTTGTTGTGGGGTGATTTTCTGATGGTACTTTATTCCCTAACAGTTAGTTTTATGCCCCAAACGGCGGCTGTAGCCCTGGGACGGAGCCGGGGAGGGGCGGAGCTGCGCGGCGCGGCTCCAGCCCGCTCTCCCCGTGCTTGGGAACGCCACATTGTTCCCCTTGTTGGATTAGCTGTTCGCCAGCTTCAAACAAGAAGGTTTTATTCCCCTTCCTCTAGCCTGGAGGCTGTACCGGGAATCCTCTTGGCAGCTTTTTTTGTTTGTTTTCCTTGAACTGTTTCGAGTTTGGGGTTTTTTTCGGCCCGTCCAGGGAGCTGGGCCGCCCCGAACCGATCTCAGAGAAGCTGAACCAACACAAGAGAGGACCCTAAAAACCAGGGGGTTTTGCTGTGAGGAAGAGGCCAGTGTCAGAAGTGGTTATTTGCTTGGAATTTTGTGTCTGATTTGTGTGACTTTATCTCAGTTCCCTGTCGGATCAGTTGTGGCCTCAGTGGTATATCATGGATTAATCTGCATTAGTCAGTCTGTCTTTACAAACTACCTGGCTGCAGGGTGATGCTAAACCAGAAGGGTTCCCGTCTGTTCCTCCCGAGGGGCTCCCTATGCTCCTGCTCTCCCACTCCCTGAGAGCAAGGGGGGCAGAGCTCTGCTGGGGATGGGGGTTAAGGATTGAAACCTCCACATCTGCCATTTGTACAGTCCTTTTCTGCGCCTTGCGGGCACCTCTTGGTTTGTTTTTTTTGTTTCCTTAATAAATAGTTTGGGTTTTTTTCACTTTCACCCACTGGTTTCCATTTCTCATTAGCAAAAAGGATTACTGGAGCCCTCCTCTTTAGAGGAAACACTAATTTCAGAGCGTTTTCTCCTCAGTTTGTCTCCAAACTGAGACAGTAACTGAAACAATACCTACAAAAATCCAGCGTTTACTTGTTATTTTGTAGCATACTAAAATTACACAGTTGGGCTGGTCATGCTGGGCAAGAAGTATTTTTTCAATTTAAAATCCTTAATTGCTAGGAATTGAAGAGCTATTTGTTTATTTGCTTGGAATTTTGTGTCTGATTTGTGTGACTTTATCTCAGTTCCCTGTCGGATCAGTTGTGGCCTCAGTGGTATATCATGGATTAATCTGCATTAGTCAGTCTGTCTTTACAAACTACCTGGCTGCAGGGTGATGCTAAACTGGTATATCACTACATTCTCTGCCTGGAAGCTGGGTCTGTTAAATACAACTTTTTTGACTTGTTGGCTTTTTGGGGTTTTTTTTTAAGCACTCAGCCATGTACAGTTTAAGTCTAATTCTTAGACTAATGTGGAGTGTGCTCTACCGGAGAGCAAACTGCCATGTAAGCATCTGTGGCTGCTGGCCCAGCTGAGCTGGCCCTTCTGGCCCTGTCCAGTCCAGGTCACTGGGCCAGGCTGTGGTCCTGCCTGGCAGCAGAGGAACTTATTCCCCAGCCTGTCCTAACAGCAAACATTTGGGAAGGGAACATGGATTAAAACCTGGGGCAGTTTTTGTTGGCAACCACTACTGATGGTATTTGCTTATCACAGAATCATTAGCCCTGTGAAATATCTTAAGAATTATCAACTCTGACCTTTAAGCTAATCCCCCCATGCCCACCAAACCATATCCCTAAGGGCCATGTCAGCTGAATTTTTGAACACTTCCAGGGTTGGTGTCTCCACCACTGCCCTGTGGTGGAGGTTAGACAGCCTATTCTAACCCTTCACCACTCTTCCAGGGAAGAAATTCTTCCTGATGTCCAGCCTAAACCTTCCCTGGCACAGCTTGATGTTGTTTGCTCTTGTCCTATCATTTGTTCCTGGGAGCAGATCCTAACTCCCCTGGCTGTCCCCTCCTGTCAGGATTTGTGCAGAGCCACAAGGTCCCCCTGAGCCTCCTTTTCTCCAGGCTGAGCCCCCCCAGCTCCCTCAGCTGCTCCTGGTACTCCAGACCCTTCTCCAGCTCCACTCTTGTATCTGCACACGCTCCAGCCCCTCAGTGTTTCTTGTATGCCAATTACACAGTCAAGGCAGTAAAGATTAAGATTCTCTATGATTTGTGTGGCAAATCTTTAATTAAAAAGACTTAGTTGTCACTAACCTCAGTGTTCTCCATGCCTTTACAGTTCATCCTGGCATTCCAATGTGGATTTTGGATGATGGGATAGTAAAAATAAAACCCCATTTTGGAACTTCCTTTGCTATACCACAGTTCAATGCAGTTTGAATTTTACTGCTGCATATTTCTCCTTGTGTAACTCTGGAAGTAATAGTGTATCAGGATTAATAAATCTCAGCTTTTGGTCTAGGTTATTCCAAGTAATTCCCTGGGACTCCTGACTGGAATGCCTCACCAGCAGCACTGCGTCCTTGGGCAGGGGCTTTGTGGCATCATGGTTGTGTTTCTGAGCTTTCGTCAACTATGTTTATTTCATGCATTAGAGTCAGGATTTTTGATCATTTTAAGAGAAATTGGTTCCTGTCACCTGTGGCTGCTTGATAGAGCAGATAAAACAGACCTGTTCAATGTAAGTACCCAGGCAGCTTCAAGGAAGGGATGTGGCTTGTGGGCAGTAAGGGCTCTGGGTGAATTAAATTAGAAATTTCCTGGGATGGCACAGTGTCAAATTATGAAGATTTTGCAGGGTTTTATTGCTTGTAGTAGAGGTGTCAGTTTTGGAATGTATTGAACTAACCCTTGTGATTATCCACAGGAACGATTGCCATGTCCCACAGGGTTCCTTCCTTCTGGCCACCAGAACTTTTACTGCTGGCACGTTTGCTCCTCAGCTCTGCACATATTTAGTTTTGAGACATTAGGTTTAATTTGCAGGCCTATTGCTCAAAGGGAGCCTTTTTGGAGCTGTAAGATGAGCGTGTATAACACAGAAATCCAGACTAAAATCCTGTAATCTCTGCAGTTCTGTTTCTGCAGAAGTTTATTGGAATTGTTTTATTGTTCCTTGCTGCCACCAGAGAGCAAAGTGCAGCGGGTATCAGCATTTCTGAGGGACTTTTGTCTCAGCAGAATATTTTGTTCTCATACTTTGAAGATAATGAAGTGAGTCATTGTCTTTACATCTCATGTGATTTATTGCAGACATACATTGCTAATGCTTTCCAAGGAAAAAAACAGACCTTTTGTTCAGACTTGTGGCTTTGAACTAGTGGGCTGGTTGGGAGTTTGCTTAACTAGGGAGTTGCTTTGATTTGCTCTTTTAATCTATGTACTGAGAGCACTTCAGCAGACAATGGAGCTCATAGAAAGTTTTTGATCAGTTTCATAGGAATATCTCTGCTTTGGCATCAAGGATGAATAAATTCATCAGCAGCTTTTAGTCTATAAGGATACATCAATGTTTTGTTCTCTTTCTGAAAGCATGAGGCTTGCCTGCACTGGGTACAGGTCAGGAGCTCTGATAAAGGAGTAGATTTTTTTCTTCAAGATTTGACATCTTGAAGAAAAAAATGTCAGTTTGTGAAGCTTTGGGAGAGTAAAATATTGCCTAGACTGACCATCAGTACACATGGTGCTGTAACATCTCCAACCCACCCTGTCATTAGCATTTCCTAGAATCACAGAATTGTTTAGGTTGAAAAAGACTTTTAAGATCATCAAGTCTGTGTCACTAAGTACCACATTCACGTGGTTTTGAGACATTTCCAGGAATGGTGACTCCACCAATGCATTGGGCAGCCTGTGTCAGGACTGACAACCCCTTCCAGGCAGAATTTCCCCCTAATATCCAACATGAACCTCCCCTGGAACAAGTTGAAGCTATTTCTCTCCTCCTGTCCCTTGTTCCCTGGGAGCACAGCCTGACCCCCACCTGGCTGCCCCCTCCTGTCAGGGAGTTGTGGAGAACCACAAGGTCCTTCCTGAGCCTTCTTTCCCCAGGCTAATTTCTCCAGGCTAATTTGACGTATGCAATAATGACCTACTTCATCTTTTGCCATGAAGATCACAAAGTGAAGTTATAACAAGAAGTAAAATAAAAGGAAAATAGGTTAGATATTTACCTTAAGCCAAAGGATTTACTTCTAAGGGCAAGGACCAAATTACTGCCAAGTGTAGGATGGGATGTTTGGAGGAAGGAGTCCTGTGAGCTGTCCAGGAGCTCCAATCAAAGGCAGAGATACTTGTGCTGTAACAGATAATACTCATAACCTTTGTTGAATGCTCCATGGTCACAGGAGTAGTTCTGCAGAGGACAGGGGAAGAACAGGACCATTACCCAGCTCCCATAATAAACACTTCCCAATGATAAGCCCTCCTTGCCTACTGCAACAATTCTTTACCTGGTCCATGTTTAATGCCACTGATAGCAAGTCTGTAGACCTCATGTGCCACCTTTTGTTACTCTTGCTCCAAATCAAGATTGTCAGTAAGGGTTTTAAGCTAGGAAACGTTGTTTGAAATGCTGTCTGTGCCTGTAGTGTAGAGAAGGTGAGAACTATGGGGCCACCAGATTCCCTCTTGGAATAAACTGTGTGGTTCATATAGGGAGAAATCCCTTCTAGGACTGAAGACTTCAATTCCCATAGTTTTCATGGACCACTGGGAAAACAAAATTGTATATATATTGTTCTTGAAATACATGTATCACTTACAGCTCTGTAATAGTATGATATTAATTGAATCTTAATTTCTTGGCTGTAAGAGGTGCTGGGATCCAGCACACCATTGCCTCTATACATTAATGTCTGTTAGAACCACAGTGAAATTTGGAATGAATTGGTTAGAGATTAAGATATTTGGGTTGTTTCTGGTGGGTTTTCTGTTGAATTCGCCCTCTTGTGTGAGGAGCTATTTTGGCTAGATTATAGGAAGTAATGCTGGTGACATGGTGTGGCATGAGTCACACAGTGTGTTTTAAACTTCACAGTGAGGTCTGGGCCAGTATATTCATTATCTGAAAAATAGACGAGCAGGGAGGTGACATAATCCACAGTTCTGTAGGGCAAATGTGAGGAGTTACAGGAAGCCATCATGCATGATTGAATAGTTAACATATAGAAGTAAAGCCTGGGGGAAACTCTCCTGGCTTTTCCACAAGATGAGAAACTATGCTGGCCGTCACCACCCAGGAGCAAAATATTGGAGTTTATGATGTTGCAGAGCATTGGCTTATAAAATGTCAGACATCAAGAACAAAAATAGAGGACAGAGACATTATGCTACTATTTTATGTAATTATAGTGATTCACCTGCGCTCAGGATACAGTTGGCATGCAGTTCTGTTCCTCTTGTCTTCAAGACATTGCTTCACAGGAGGGGTTGTCAGGCCCTGACACAGGGCAGAGGTGGAGTCTCTATCCCTGGATGTGGCACCTGAGGACATGGGTTAGTGGTGAGCATGGTGCTGGAGCTGGGTAGACGGTTGGACTTAATGGTCTTAGAAGTCTTTTCCAGCCTTAACAATTCTGTGATTCTTGGAGAAGTTATCTAGGAAGTGGGGAGGGCTTGGGGCTGGTGACTATAACAAAAAACATTTTTGATAATCAAAAGCAGATCTGCCACTGCAGGAATGGCTGAGCAGGCTGGAACTCTTCAACCTGGAGAGATGATTTAAACCAAATACTGGATCTGAAGTGGCACAAAGCCACTGAATAGGAACTGATTGTTTGCTGTACTGCACGAGCTTGGCTTGCCAGTGAGGCTGTGAGGAGATGGCTTCCACGCAGAGGGAGGGGGCGAGGATCCCGGGAATAGGCTCTGTATCTGTGGGATGCTCAAGGATGTTTCGCCTACAGAAAGTTAAATGGGAAAAAAAAGCAGACTGAGCAAGTGCTCAGAGATGTTCTGAGCTTTACCAAAGGACAAATTATGACAGGCTTGGGTTATTCTGGGGGCTGACAGTTGAAGCAGAGGGACTTGTGAGGGAGGATTGTGTGCTGCCTCTTTCCTCAGCATTTGCTTGTAAGCACCATTGGAGACAGGATATCCTGCTGGACAGACCTGAATGTGTCTTGGTTTCAAAGACAGGTGTCTGCCAAGGACACACACGAGCAGCTGCCCCAAGCAGCCAGAGACGCTCCCTCCTGAGGGATCCCCTTCCCAGTGAGGTGGGGTGTTGGAAAGGTCCCCCCCAGTTCAACAGCTGCTCTTGAGAGCAGCAGCCCACCCCAAGGAGAAAGCCGTGCAGGACAGAACTCGGCGGTGGCAGCGAATTCTCCCCGCAGCCCCAGCCTGACCAGCTCACCCGCGGCCCGAGGGCGAGCCAGGAGTGAGCCCAGCCCGGGCCCAGCCAAAGCCTCGCAGTGTCTCTGCCCTTCCCAAGAGGAAGCCCCCAGCTAAGGGGGGGTAGCAAACTGCACCCTTGTGTCGGAACCCAGAGCATCTCTCTGGATGCCCTGGATGTCTCAAAGCCCTGGCAGGGGCTCAGAGACCCTGGCAGGAAGCCAGAGACACCTGGAAATTCGATCTTAATTCATAGAGCAAATTGCCAACCTGATATGAAGAATTACAGGCCACAAAACTTTAAGTAGCATAGTAGTAGGAATCACAGGGTGAAGGGAAAAACTTTGGAGCGCTGTACAGGGGGGTTTTGTATGTTGTACAGGGGGGTTTGGAATCCTGTACATGGGGGTCAGGGGTTCAAAGATGGAGGGATTTGGGCGTGCCCTGTCCTTCTTCTTTCTTCTCCTTGGCATCCATGTTCAGGTTGATGTTGGCATGTGTGGATTGGTTCATAGTGAAAGTGCACTTGCCAACAAGGGCGAAAAGTATTGGAAATAGAAGGTAAATATCTAATATGTAGTTTTCACTATAAAAGAGACAACCGCCCTGTGGGCGGGAGAGAGTGCCCTTGGCTGTCTTGCTGATCAGACCTCGGCTGGACAGACAGAAAAACTTTGTAGATAAGGAACAATAAACTCAACTGAAGACCAAAAAGCAAGAGTCCAGACTCCTTCTTCGAGAGCGCGGCCTGCCCAGAACCACCTTTTCCCGTGCTGGGGCAGAGACAAGTGACAGCCGACCCCGGCACCCTTGCCCCTCCTCCTCCTCTCAGCACGTTTTTTGTCTCTGAAGTATTGCCACTGACCATCAGGCAACAAATGGGAGAAAATTCCCTGACAGAAAGAAAAATAAAAGGAAAATTCCTAACCTCCAACAATGCGCTTATTGCCAGGCAGTACCTCTGTGACTTCACACAGTCGCTTTATCACCACGGCATGATTTTCCCCCCGTGTGGGCGTTGCTGCGGCTCCCTCAGCGCTGGGCCGGCCGGGGCTCCCTCTGCAGGCCGCGGAGCAGCCCGCCGGGCCCGGCCCGGGCTCCGTGCCTCCGGGGCTGTGCGGGCACAGATGCCATCGGTGACTGATGCTTTCAGGCTGGTGGCCAACAGTCAGGGTGCCAGGGTTTGCTTTGCCTTGGCCAACAGTCAGGGTGCCTTGGTTTGCTTTGCAGCCCGTGTGGAGCTCTGGCTCCATGACAGCGATCAGGGTACCTGAGCCACAGAACCGCAGGATCTCCAGCTTTGGATCCTTCTGATCTCGTGGTGCCCAGAGTGCCCCAGCCCTGGAGGTGAGGCTGCAGAGCAGAGGGGGACAGTCCCCATCCTTGACTGAAGTGACTAAAGGAGTTGCTGTGTGGGGGATTGATCCCAGGCCTCCGTTTTTCAGGGATGAGCTTTTTTCAGTAATACATTGGGTTTCAGTCTATAAATATCTCTAGGCTTTGCCAGAGTTAATGAGTTATAATGAGTTAATGAATCAGCTTTGACTCTCTAGTAAATGTCAGAAGTTCTAGACTTCAGCACCTCACCTGCTTCTTTTGAATGGTGAGATGATTGTGTTTCTTTTTTTATCAGTGTTCCAGATCTCTTTATTTCTAGAGAATCAAAATTAACAACTCTTACTTCCACACTGCCCCAGCCCCCCCCCCCCCCCCCATTAATACCTGTCATGCTGGGAAGAATATTGGATTGTGTAAGTTTAAATGAAGTATTACAACCCCCCCCCCCCCCAGTTGCAAAATTACCTTTTTTTAAATTAATACCTGTCATGCTGGGAAGAATATTGGATTGTGTAAGTTTAAATGAAGTATTACAATTTGCTTTAGAAGTTTGCAACATAATCTAATTTTGCGTTGGCTCAAGCTGAAAACCGTTTGGAAATGGAATGGATCTCTGATAGGAATGAATTAAAACCACCTTCTTGCTCAGAGTTGCTCTCAGTAATTCCTCCTGTTTCCCTGCTCCCCTGGCATGAGCACAAGTATCCTGTTCCTGCTCCCCACCCTTTCCCTTCGAACATCACAAAGGTGTCCTTAGGTGTTTTTCTAGGAACAATTATGCTCTATTTGAGGCAGAATAAAAAATTGAATTGATGAATTGTCTACTCTCTGCCATGGCAGTCAAATAAAAACAACTATTTTTTACTGCAGTTGGCTTAATTCCTCTTTTTTCTGTTTTTCTGTTGGAATTCTGTATACAGGATAATTAGTTGTGAACAGCAAACATCTGTGAGCAACAGTGAAGAGCAAGCAGGACCACTGCTGCTGGAATCCAGCATCCATGGCTTGTGTGTGTCTGTGTTTTATCTGAAAGTTCTTGCAGTGCAGGTAGTTGGTTCCCATTTTAGACACTTCAAACAACTTCCTTCAGTTGCGGAAGGGCATGAGCTTCCTGCCCAGAGGCTCTTTCTGGAGAAGCTTCTCTCTATGTAAAGAGAAAAATAATTTATTCAGTGTGAAATTACAACCTTCTTGCTCAAATGTCTCCTTCTTGTCAGAAATTCAGTTCTCATTAATATGTTCTGTTTAATGTATGTTCTGCAGTAAATCTGCTGGATGGATTTGGAACCACCTGATCCAGTGGAAGGTGACCCTGCCCGTGTGGAACTGGATGGGCTTTAAGGTCCCTTCCAACCCAAACCATCCCATGATTCTGTGATAATCATGTCTCCAAACAGGATTTGAAGTACCTTGAGTGGATAAGCAATATCTTTCCATTTCTATTTATTGAGAGAATGAGATGAACTGTGAACTGTAAGTATTCTTCCTTAATTTCTTGAAATTATGCTAGAACAGGTGATATTCCTGTCACACTGAATTTGAGGAATTAAACTGTTACAGAATTAGCATTTCTCCCTTTTAAGGTGTGATGAATTTTATCTGACTCCATCAACTGAGTTTTTTTTTAATGTGGGGCGAGCAGGGAGGGGAAGGTTTCAACAGATACAGACTTTGAGAGACTCTAAAAATACCTTCCTCAACGTGTATATATTGAAAAAACAGGAGTTAGTGAGCAGGATTATTAGTAATTAAAATTGCTGTATTTGTCCTGTTGAGAAAGCAAGAAGTGCTAAAAACTGGCTCATATTTCTCTTTTCCTCTGAGATTTATTTTTAGTAATGAGAAAAACTTTATTCTCCAGGTAAAATGCAAATATTTCTATGATAAGTGTAGTTTTGTGGAATAATTATGTGCTGTTTTAGAACTTACAATTAGATTATTTTTCTTTTTTCACCTGAATTCTTATGATTTTTCTTAAATAACCTCCTTTTATTTTAAGGAGCAATGTATATTGATGTGCTAAACATCTCTTTGCTAACGTAACTGGTATGAAAGAACGGGAATACATTTTTTGGGATGCCTTCAGGTTACTGATGTGTCCACTGATGCCTGGAACCAGGCCAGCCTCCCTTGGAGCGTGTGTGGAGCTGAGTTGGTATGAAAGAACGGGAATACATCTTTTGGGATACCTTCAGGCTGGTTACTGATGTGTCCACTGATGCCTGGAACCAGGCCAGCCTCCCTTGGAGCGTGTGTGGAGCTGAGCCAGCTGAGAGAACAACCCTCGAGGGAGGATTCCCCCTCAGCTGGGTGGCTGTCCCCGTTTGCCACCTCAGTGACAGCAGGTGGCTGTGGCGGGACAAAAGGGCAGTTTGCAAAGAGCTACAACATCTCACAAGTGTTAAACCCAGGAGTTACCACATCTAAAACTGCACATTTTTCAGAGCAAGTACGTGATGTACCAGCAGCTGCCTGGCCTCTTTGAACTTTGCTCTAAGCTTCTTGTAGTGCTCAGTCTGTCCCTTACTGCGAACTTCAATGACAAACAGGCTGGGGCAGAAGGGTCTTTAGGTCTTCATTCTTAGTGAGGTCAGTGCATCCAACCAAGCACACGTGCCAACAGTGTTGTCACCTGGATCTAAACCAGCTACGCCAGGTGTGCTCTGCAGGGCAGCAAAGAGCTGATGGCACAGGCAGGGGAATCACAGATTGCTTTGTATCCTGAGTGGGACAGGACTCACTCAGTCCATGCCACATGCCAGCCAGGACTGGACTGTTTGTATAAAATGAATGGGTTCTGTGTGAATTCTTGCAGTAGTGATGTCAGATGAAGTTTACAAAATTCACAGCTAGTTCACAGCAACTTGACACTGTGAGAGCAGGGTGCAGGGCAATAGAGCCCCTAAGAACAGAACACCAGAAATCCCTATTTGGTTGACATTGTTCAAACAGATTCATGCAGAAACTTTAATCAAGAGTAAGGTTATATATTAACTTGGTGGTAGCTGATAGGATAAAAATACAGCCCGAAGTTACCTTAGATTATTACAATGCTAATAAACAGCCCCTCAGGGAAATTTGTCTGTGTGAATGAGGGTGTAGTGAGCTGGATTAAGACATCAGATGCACATTAAGAATTACGTGATGGAAGTGTGAGTGAACAATCACCCGTTTCTGTGTCATTTTTCTGTGTTACCTTTTTGTATACAAGCCTGTGCTTGTTTCCCAGGTGTGCCAGGATTGTGAGGGCCCTGGCACCTTGTTCTGCAGGGTGGTGATAAAACCCAGTATCCTGACTCGGCGCGTGGGCTGGCTCTTGCACATGGGGTGACAGAACCCAGCTTTAGGAACACCAGCAGTGTGAGGCAGTGAAGGAGAAACTCATCAAACCACCACTGCTCGTGAGCTTTTTATACACTGCAGGTTTTAATGTGACTCCAAAGGGTGTTTTTTTTGTTTTTAATCTGAGCATTTAAGAAAATTTTCCATTTATATTCAGAGGACACAATGTTTAACAGAAAAACAGTACTTTCATTGAAAGGGAAATGAATCTGTTGCCCTGTCATACCAGGGGCATTTAGAATGACAAAAGTGCAACAAGAAAGGCGTTGTTCAGCAGGCAGGAAGCCGAGGAAACAGGAGCCCTGCAGGATGCAAACCACGTCAATGTGGGCTCTGTGGTGTCTGCTCGGTGGCTGCAGGAGCAGGTGCGAGCGTATCCGGGGAGCCCCGGGAGGTGGGACACGATTGTGGGGCTGTGAACACCACAGAGCCTGTTCATGTTTCAGGGTGTACATCAAGGAAAAGCTCTTTCAGAAACATTTCTGAAATAAAACTGTGGTAGAAGTATATGCTCTAACTCAGTTCACAGCAGTAAACGAGCTCTTGGGACAACCTGGCGTGATCTCTGTTGCTTAGCTTTGCCAAAAGTTCCTAGCTTAAAGTTGTCATCTGTGCTATGAAACCAAACCATTTCACAAAGGTTTTCTATCACATTTTTCTCAAAAGTTAGACTGCTGTTATAGTTAACAGGGAAATAAAGTTAACACTTCAGAAAAACCCAACAACTCAAGCAGAGCACAATCAAACCTCAAGTGTTATTTCTTAAAATATTATTGAAAATTATTTGCAATTGTTGTTGACTGTTCAAGTTGATGTCTCTAAAAAGCTTTTGCTCCAAGTGTTCATTAATCTTTGGACATTGTACTTCATGTCTTCTCTGAGTTATGGCTTTGAAAATGTCTGACCACGAGAATTGTCAAATTTTTCATGTGGCTTGGGAAGAAGATCATGCACATGATCACAGTGTCATTCAGAGTTGTCTTTACTGGAGTTTTTCCCAGTGTCTACTTCTATCCCAGAGCTATTACAGCAGGGTGCCAGTACTTACTCCTCACTCTTAGAGAGGCTGTGACAGGTCTGTTTGTCTGTGGGACCAGCTGTGGATCTGAAGTTGCTCAGCACTTACTGTTCTTTGCTGAGGCTGGAAAAGTGGCATGAACAGAAGTTTAGCAGCAGCTGATCCTGAGAACTGCACAGAGGAAGGGATGCTAAAGATGGAGAAAGTGGTGTGAGCTATAACCCATCCAGAAATATTCTGCAATATTGAAAACATCTGATTTATAGCATCATGGAGACATTCATGTCCAATTGTGATAGAAAGCTTAAAATCTCTCGGGCCTAACTACAGCTTTGTAGTTGATATAACCATCATCA